AGCCCAGTTGTATAGGGGTTAAGCTACCTATGTACAGGAAAACAACTTTCTCCTGTACCAAAATACATTTTAAGAAAATAGGACAGACCAAGTTTGTTGCTAGAAAGAAGAATTGGCCACAATACACAGCCCTGACAGTGTCCTGCAGAAAACTGTATAACAGACTTAGATGACACCTGCATCTTCATAGACATGGCTCCAGAGAGACAAGGACAATTTTGCCTTATATAGGAAGGTCAAGAATAGACTTTAGTCACCTCCCTAAAATGTATAGCCCTACCATATGTCATATTTAGTAGCAGAAGATTTAGCTGCCTGAAGCGGCCATGGTGCCAATATTATATTTCATTGTATTAATATGTTGTATTAACCTTTGATTCTCTTACAGGTTTAAATGTAGCTGTAGCTTCCAGCAGTTGCTGTGAATTGGTGATGGTCTACAGTTCTTAGTAGTCTTTGGGAGTAATTGGCATGTGTCCAGTCTCCCACACTGAGGGCCATTATTATGGCTATGTTTTAGCTGTCCTTGAAGGGGGCTATGTAGGGTGAACCTCAAAAGTAGAGGGTGCCTAACTGCTGAGAGGGCAGGTGCCCAAATGGGCAAAGAAAAATACCCATTAGATTTTGGTCTCTATTGAGAGACAGTTGACAGTTAGCAACCTGTATACTGTCTTGCAGGCCTGTGTGACCATGCCTATGTCAGGGGTGGCACAAAACCTCAACTGTAGGAAACTGGGGAAGGCCTGTCTAGAACAGAGGGGGTTAATAAAGTGGTGAATACTAGCCCTCTGTTACAGGAATTACAGACCCTGTGAGGTCCTGTGACATATAAGACCCTGTAGGGAAATAAAGCTCCTTTAGTCCATTCTGAAAGAACAAATAAAAGACAGATTAAAGGCTGTGTTTCCCTCCAGGCAACCCAACTGGAACCCCTATAGTGACAGGGGAAAGGAGGCTCTCGATCGGTATCGCCAGACTCTATTAGGGGGCATCCGAGCTGCTGCTTGGAGACCCACAAACCTCTCTAAGGTGACAGAGACAGTCCAGGGGCCTAACCCTGATGCCCTGGAAAATTGGGGGCTGTCAATGTTGCATTTGTTTTCCAGTCGACCCCAGATATTAGAAAAATTGCAGAAGTTAGAAGGCTTTGAGGAGAAATCAATCTCTAAGTTGGTTGAGGTGGCCCAGAAGGTTTTTAACAATCGGGAGGACCCGACAGCAGGCTTAAACACCCCGATGGCAAAGGTCCTCCTGGCCATAAGCGAGGAAAAAGGCCCAAGAGGCGGAGAGACAACAAGGGCAAAGAAAAGCCTCCTGGGGAAAAAGGAGTCCAACCCCGGCTTGGCAAAAATCAGTGTGCATTTTACAGAACATTGGAAAAGGGAGTGCCCTGAACGTGTGAGGAAACCGACTCCAGTATTGGTCAAGGAGGTGGATTAGGGTTGTCAGGGCTCA